TTGAATATATATATATATATATTGTATGCATATCAACAATATCCTGGTATCTATCAAATAGCTAGAGCATTGCAAATTTTTTTCCTTCCTGTTTCTATGCAAATTTGAGTCCTTAAATGGGGTATATGCCTGCAAATGTATATGGAAGTACCTTTAAATTTCTTAACATTGTGCTAAGAATTGTTATTTTCCTTCTTGTGCAATGTGAATACTGAAGAATACTTGCTGTAATTCGCAATGGATTTATGGGTCAATGAATATTACATGGCATAAGCCTTAATTTGGCTGGATAAAATTCTACACACTGGATTATTTTCTTGCCCTTCATGTTGGGCTTGGTCTAATATGATATCAGAAACTATGCATTGACATATATTCGATGTGAAATGAAATTATATCATGACCTTAACCTCTAGCTTTCTTTAGCTAAACTGATTCTCTAATAGTAAGCACTCCCTTAGTTTTGATTTAATGAGTTTTATTATTAAGAGTCATTACACTCCTTAGCGGGAAGACAAAAATGGACATAGTTCTGGGCTTTTTCTCCTCATGATATCTAGCCTGCGCACCTACTGAATTTGTAACTCGAAAAGAAGTAGATGTACTAGAGCACTAAAGGCTTTACTTCCCTACGTAAAAAGAACCTTGTAAATGCAGCTTAAATGCCATTGTGCAAACAACCTAACCTCTCAATGGTTGTAATTTCTCTTAATTGCTGAGGTCTTAGCACTATTTTGTTGGATGCCTATGACATTTCAGAAGTTAATAATCAGATCTCTTTCGGCTCTAATAATTCGTCATGGAATGTTTTATCGAATTTTGTGATATCTTGGGAATTCATCACTCTCACATCTGATTTGTCTTAAGAAACCTTTCTTTGTATCATAATGCTTCCACCCTTTTCAAAATTTAACCCATATATGATATTTAATGTTCTGATTAATGAATTTGAAATCTTCCGTTCTTAAGGTGTGGACACTGTAAGAGGCTTGCTCCAGAGTGGAAGAAGGCTGCAAATAACCTCAAGGGGAAGGTGAAGTTGGGTCATGTGGACTGTGATGCGGAGAAGGTAAGTTTTAAAATCTGATCTCTCTTTATTATACTTGTTTCTTTTATTGATTTTCTCCTTCCAGTTTTAGCTAATAAGATGAGTGGTCCAATTCACCCGTGGATTTATTAGTGTGTTCTAGTCTATGGTTGGAAACAGAACTTCCTTTCTCTTATAGTGGATCTAAACTTTTCAAACTACTGATTGTGTATGATTGAAATCAAATGCTTTAAAGATGCAATGGTTAAAAGAGTGTGATAGATTAAAATATATTAACTGGCATCAAAGATTGTGACACAATCCTCTCTCTGATGTGTACAAGATGCAATGGTTTCTTCTTTTTTTTCTTTCATTTTGTGAAATTTCAATCATAAGAGTTAGACGATTTAAATTTCTTTTAACTGATATTTTCTTCAGCAGTTTTCAGATGTATGCGAAAATTTATTTCTCCTTTTGTTTGATTTGAACTTAGGGGCACTTCTGCTTGACACAGCTCTGTATTACTTAATCAGCTAATTGTTGGAATAACAAGATATTCCAAAGCGACTCCAATTGTCTAACAGGGATAGGATATCAATGCAATTCTTCTGTGCAACACAATCTTCTTGTATCCCACTTTGAATTCTTTTGCGATTCCATCAAATATTAGTATGTTTGGATTATTCAGCCAAATGATGACTTCTGAATTCAATTATATGCAACTTGGTTTCAATTATTAGTATGTCTTCTACAGCTATGGAACTTTATTGCTCGTGAGCTAGGGTTGCCTGCAAAAGATAGATATAATGAGGCAATGATACGTAGTCAACAATTTCTTTAATATTTCTTCTTTATTAAGCTGAATCTTAGTAGAGCGTGCCCCATCTCTAGCATAAATCACTCACTGATTAGCTTGTTCTTTTTTCTTTTCTGGAAGATTAGCTTGTTCCATATGCTGAGATTTACAAAGATGCGAGTGGAATGGCTTGAGTTGCTAGAAATTTTTGCAGTAGGCTTAGATAAGGTTGTTTTAACCAGAAGAAGGATTCTTCTGAAAATTTTGGAGATTTCTTTCAGTCATGATGATTTTGTTTCAATAACCTGTCTTCTCAATAACCTCATGCATCAGGAGGGCAAGCATTATGTTTCTGTACCGTGTTCTAACTAAATTTGAAGATCAAAGTGACATTTGACTGTCCTGAAGACAGTTGTAATCCGTTGTTCTTGTTTCTAATGGTGTCAAACTGCCAGTCTCTTATGAGCAGGTTCAACGTGCAAGGATTCCCCACAATATTGGTATTTGGCGCTGACAAGGATAGCCCAAGTCCTTATGAAGGTGCAAGAACTGCCTCAGCCATTGAATCATTTGCTTTGGAGCAGCTGGAGACCAATGTTTTGCCTCCTGAAGTCACTGAGCTGACTGGCCCAGTAAACCACTCTTCTCTTAGAATCCCCAGAATCCCCCCTCCCCTCCCTGCCCCTGCCTCCGCCCCCTCCCAAAAAAATAATGAAGAAAACACCGAATAAGAAAGACAGAAAAAGAGAGCAATGTAGAAAGACAAATAAAATGGCCTTTAGCAAGCGGGAAATTGTAATTTTTGTTAAGCTGTGATTTATTAGATTGCATACTATGTCATTTTATTAATTCTTGTTATAGGATGTCATGGAAGAGAAATGTGGTTCTGCTGCCATATGTTTTGTGGCTTTCCTGCCTGACATATTAGACTCCAAGGCAGAGGGACGAAACAAGTACCTTGAAATGTTGTTATCAGTTGCTGAGAAGTTCAAAAGAAGCCCATACAGGCAAGACACAACAGTCCTTTTTGCTTTATTCATGAAACAAAATTGAAATTCAATGCAGGCACACTGATATTATGATTTGGAGACTTTTGCAGTTTTGTCTGGGCAGCTGCAGGTAAGCAGTCAGATCTAGAAAAGCAAGTAGGTGTTGGTGGGTATGGATACCCAGCTTTAGTTGCTCTTAATGTGAAGAAAGGAGCTTATGCTCCTCTCAAGAGTGCATTCGGACGAGACCAGATTATGTAAGTATTGCATTTTTTTTTCCTCGCTTGAACTGTTTTCAGGAGCTAGTTAAAAAGTAACCTGCCCTCCTTTTTACTCCAGAGAATTTGTAAAAGAAGCTGGACTTGGCGGAAAGGGGAACCTGCCTCTTGGGGTCACTCCTTCTATTGCAAAAATTGAACCATGGGATGGGAAAGATGGAGAAATCATTGAAGAAGATGAATTCTCCCTTGACGAATTAATGGGGGATGACACTGCAAACAAGGATGAGTTGTAATCCTTTTTAGGTTTAATGTTAACAGACAATTTTGATATATCAGTTGAGGGGTTGCTGGTTTAACTCAGTTGCAGATGTAATTTTCTTTAAAAACTGCACGCAACCAAATCCCTAGTTTCCTTTTGAAGGAGAATGTAAAAGTTCATAAACATCCTGTGCAAAATGGTAATTTTTGCTGCATTGGAGTTAAAGCAAATGCAGTATGTGAGCTTAATCTGAAAAAAGGTAGTGTTGTAAACTTGACTTTGCTTGTGTTTGATAAAACTCAAGTGTGAAATCTGAATCTAAATTTTGAAATTTGAATTCCTTAAATCATTGAATTATAAAATATTGAAATTTAAAATTTTGAGTGTATTCTACATCGTAAGTGAATAGATTTTTACTTAATTTTTAGAGTAAATTTGTCTAGAAAATTTAGATCCACTTAATTCATTAAAGTAATCAAGATGTTTTAATTTTATTATTAAATATGTTTGAATATGTTAAGATTTAAATTCATTATGTATTGAATTAAGTCATCAAACAGTTTGCCTTGAGCATAAATGAACATGATTAGCAGAGTTGAACCAACCATGCAAATTCTACTGTTTTGGAAGCTGTATTTATCTTAGTATTGAAACCTAGGACAATAAGTTAACCTTCTTTACTATAAAAGAGTCAAGAAAAAAAAAAAATTTTAACCAAGTGATTCTAGAAGCATTGCTTATATGTCAATTCAAACTATTCTTTCTGTGATCGCAGTATGAGTCCAGGCTTCATATTTTTTTTAAAGAAAAGAAGAAGAAGAAGAAGAAAAATGTATTTTTCTAGAAATGTGTTACGGTCTCATAGCTTAGTGCTGAACGAAAGTGGTAAATGGGCATTGTGAGTTGAGGCTGAAACATATCACACAAACAGCACTAGATTTCTATGATGTCTTCTTGGCTACTTCAGTGTTTTTAGGATAATCTCACATTTGTACCCCAAGGTTTATGATAATTTTCCTGACGTCCCCATACGATTTCAGTGCAGCTCTGTTGATTTAACTCAAAAACTGATTTTCTTCTTTCCTACCTTACTCTTCTCATTGCCACATTAAAGGGGTACGAAAAAAGTGGCTTCCTATTTTAAAATTTCTTGGCTAAGAAATTTATTTTATCCCCAGAGTAGTGAGCATATTGTTGTGAATAGTGGCCAAAACTTGGGTAGATCTGATTTTCATAGATTCAATGATTCAGATTGTGTTATCCCTCACCAATCATGCAACAAATTTCAGGTATCGAGTATCATTGTGAATAGTAGTCAAAACTTGGGTAGATTTGGTATTCATAGACCGAGTGATCTAAATTGTGCCACACCATTCTGGATTTACCCAAGTGTGAGCCATTGATTCAATAATCCAGATTGTTCCACATTACTTGGTGAGATGGTGTGATACAATATGGGCCATTGAATATTTGAAAATCGGGTCTACTCAAATGTCAACCAATGAATTGAGATTCAGTGATTCTACATGACAATTTGTCGTAAAAATATGCAGAAAAAGTCATACCATGCAATAGACGGATTTTTCCATATTGTTTGAAATGCAAGAACTACATGTGTTGATACATGAGTCCAATTTGCCATCTCCCTATGGTGGTGATACCACAATTTTGGTGACAAAAATTTAGAGCAAACTGGATGACATGTTAGCTAAAAAGGTAAAACAGTGTTGCATTGTTTAGTTCGAGATACTTTATCCAAGAGCTTGAGAAATATTCTCAATGCCCTGTTAGCATTCTCTAACGCTTCAGCCTGACGAGTTTTCCGTTTTGTATTCTTAGATTGTTTCTTTTGATAAACTGCAAAGAATTTAAAAAGCAAAGGTTAGATAACAGAAATCATATGCAGGCTTAAAAGCAATGAGAACCGGACAGTCTTTTTTGGCTAGAAATTGGAAGCATGACAAAGGGGGTTATTCAATCAACGAAAAATCAGGTAAAAATTAGGTTTCTCGGTGAGTTAAAGATACAAATAACAGAATGAAGTCAATTCGGAACAGAATTAATTGCTCTCTTTATAGCTTACTACTAGCAGTGAAAGAATCATGGGAGATTATTATACACGAGAACAAATTAGAATCACACACTAATACAATAAGGGGGTGAAAATTGCTGAAAAGCTAGCTTCTTGAACTATAGCAAAAGAATGTGAATGAACAAGACAAACTTGGTCATCATCATCATCATCAAGAGAAGCTTCATCATCATCATCAACAATTTTCTGTGCTGCCTCCGTTGCACCATTGCCATTTTCCAAAGCATCCAGCCAATCAAGAATCGCCTGCACCCTACCCCATCCCACAGTCAAAGTAGTTTAACTCAATCAAAGCCACTGCTGCAGCTCTAAAATTAATTGCAACCTTTGAAGGTTGAAACTCTCCTCCCCCAAAAAAAAAAAAAAAAAAAAGGCGAACACACACACAAAAAGAAAACTGAATATGAAATAAAATTAAACATTATGGACCAGAGTTCGATTATCAGAGCTGGGATGTGCAGCCGCCATTTTGGGAGCAACCTTGCAGGACCGAGTTGACATTCTTCGAACTGAATTCGATACATCATCCTCCATTCCTAAAATAAAAAAATTGGCCGCAATAGTCACAAGTATGGGCATCTGGAGATGCAAATTAAAAACTAAAAATATCGTATAAATCTTCACAACTACAAAAACTCAAAAAACATTTGGAATATAAGAATGACATAGCAGTGTTACATGTTTAAATATGAAGAAAAGAAAAACAATATAAAATAATCAATAATACTCAATGGTATTCTTAGCGATTGGGTATTAGGCTCTTTATCAAACCAAGCCTACTAGGGTCAAATTTGGGCAGATAAATACAAATTAAGTAGATATAAGGGTTAAATATTTTATATCTTTCCTTAAATTATATTGTTAATTTTATTTTTGGTAAAAAAAGATTCTATTTTCACATTATTTTTATAAAAATTAAAAATTTTAATTAAAAATTTTCATGTTGAAGGGCCAGTTGGACTTGTTTTCAATTTAGTTATTTAAAAATCTAGATTTCATGAATGGTACCATTATTTATTTGATTTGATTAATAGGGCACTTGTTAAAAGTAATTTCAAGTGTTATTTTTTTTCAAAAAAGTATAATTAATTTGAAAAAGTGTCTAAATACATGGGTTAAGTTACAAAATCCTTATTTACTTTTTGAAACCATGACCTATGGATATTATTTAATTTGTAGTTTATAAAAGTTGACCTTTTAGTTAGGATTGAAAAATTAAAGAAAAAATTATTATTTCCTTTCTCACTTTTAGTAGGAATAGTGATGTTTTTTCTTTATTTATCCCTCACTTGACAAATGAATCCATAAAGATGTAAAAAAACCAAATTCAAGCTATAAACGATTTCTTTAATTTAGCTTGCTAATCATTAATTATTTATAGTTTCCTTGGTCTTCAAACCATTAAATTGTGCATAGTTATTTATTGTAAAATTAACCAATTTAAAAGATGTTTTCTTAGTATTGTTTGATAGTCATTAAATGGGCAAACTTATTTTTGTTAAGGTTTATATTTCACTAATTAGTAACTTCACTAAATAACTTGTAGAGAAAACAAATGGAGAAAATACACCAAATACTAAGAATCTAAATTGTAGAATCCACTAATGGTCCAAAACTACAAGTGAATGAATTCACCTCTTGTTACTACTCTTGTTTAACTAGGAATTTATTTCTAAATTTAACCAAAACTCACTCTCATGATGGATTGGTTATTGCTGGCCTTAGACTCCCCTATTCTCATCGTGAAAATCTAAAACTAGTTCATTTACTACATGAAATGCTCACGAAAATCCACTTAAGTGCACCTCTATACTCGTGAACCTACTCCTTAGGTTCCATTTATCACATTTCCATTCTTGTTACCAATTATCATTGAATAACAACAACTAATGACTTGTAATTAGTGATCAAGATATCACGAGAATTAACACATATATAAATGGATAAGTTAGTACAAGATGCAACAAGAGTAATCACATTCAACTCATATTCAAGGAACCATTAGTTTCATCTATTCCCTAGATTTAGAACATAGTTCAACATATTACATAAAGCAAGTAAGAACAAAGATATTGAACAAAATAAAGACAAGGTTGAGAAAAGTTTAGCCAAAAGTTGAACAAACTTCCAAAGTTCTTCTATTACTCCTCCAAAATGAGTTATTACAATGATGCTTCTCTCCAAATTCTTCTTACAAGTGTATCTCCTCCAATGGGAAAAAAATATCTATTTTAAGTGCTAAAAACTAGAACTCTTTCTTCTTGCACAAAACATTATATATATATATATATATATATATATGGAACAAAGTCAAGGAATAACGCTTAAAATATCATCACTACAGCTTTAATTAAACTGCAAGATGTCCCTCAAAAGAAATGAAATAATAGAGTTGAAGTCAAGTGGAACAAGTTGTATTCACAACATTTGATCGGAATCCCTTCGACAATTCAGCCAAAATTCCGGTCGGATTGTTAGAGGTTCCCTATTTTACTTGCATTTTGTTTCTTCGATCAATCAACACTCTTTGCCTGAAATCTATCCAGCAATCCCTGCATGGATTCTTGGAGCGATTCGAGCCAACATCCTTCACCGTCAATTTTCTTCTTTTTCTTACTTTTGTGACTTGAACCACCTTAAAACTTGCCATTCTCGCAAACTTTAGGAATTCAATCAACACAATACAAACACATTCCTTATCCAAAATGAAGTCTATTTCCATCTCCTATAAAAACATAAATATAATGCAAGTAAAAAGGACATAAACCACTTAGAAACTCTAATAAATTTGTTAACCAAATTCTAGCCGAAAAATGACTTTGTTTCAACCTTTAACTTCCCAAAAGTGACTAAAAATGACAAAATATCTCATCAAAAGATTGCACAATATTGTCACTTATCAGGTTTTTTTTTATTTATTTGATAAGTGGGATTCTTGAACCCAAGACCTCTTACTTACAACCCCTCTCATTTTACCACCCAATCTAACTCTCTCCTGACCATATACAATTCTCATCAAGTGTTGAATTTTTTTTCCATCTAAGATAGTGTTCAATTTCAAATTTCACTAGGGGAGAAAAAGAATGTAGGGGGATGAAGACTTAGCTTGATCAATACTTTGTTTTAATTTTAAAAAAACAAAATGATGATTTGAACTAATCTTTTTACATGAGAAATGATTTAGGATAGATTCTTAGTCCATTGGAATTAGAAGGAATGAAGGTCAAGAAGAAATAAAAGATGTCAGTGTCTGTCAGATGCAAGGATTGGACACATCTCATCTATTTGCCGTCTGAAAAATTGAGAGCAAAAGTTGGAGCATTCTGACCTCCTTTCGGACGCATCTGTTTGACGCAACAAATTTGAATTGGACGTTCAATCATCTGTCAGACGTAGGGATCAAATGCAGAGGGTTTCTGTCGAATGTCTGATAGCTCTAATGGCTATTTTCTAACAACTAGTTTTTTGATCATTGGAGAAGTTTTTGGGGCAAAGTTTCACCATCTATAAATACCCAAGTATGAGAAGAAAAGAGATTTTTGCCTACACAAAATACAAATTTTGAAGAGTTATATTTGGGTAGAAATATACTTTGATTATTTTATAGGTGTGAAAAAAGTTGGGTTTGTGAGGTCTCTCGTTAAGAAGAAGTAAAATCTTGGATAAGGTGAGTCTCACTTGTAAATAGTTCTTAATTGGTTGTGTGAGTTTTAATTGTAACTAGTTGAGGGTTAAGTAGGAAAATTGTAAAACTCCTTGGCTCAACTAAAGGCATTTAGAGTGAGAAAGGAGTAAGCCTTCACTTGTACAAGTTGGTTAGTGTCACCGTCATTTGAAAAAGCTACTTGGTTGATTTAACTTTAAGTTTGGAGAAACTTGGAAGTTTGTTGGTTAGCATTTCTATCTTTTACCTTTTCTTTTTACTATTTAATTGTGCAATCTTTGTTGAGTTTTATTGAATTAATTGAATCATTTGCTATATTTTTGTGAATTTTATTTGAAACATTTTTATTGGTTGAATATTTGCAATTATTTACTTGATTTATGAACAACCTAATTCATCCCTCTCTTAGATTGTTTTGGGACTTTACAATTGGTATTCGAGCTTGATCTCCTAGAGATTAAACTCAACCGACTTGGGAGAAAAGATCATGACAACCAACTTGTTATTAGGAACATCTATAAATGAACCACCGGTGTTTAATGATAAAAATTATGATGTGTGAAAAAATAGGATAGAAACTTTTATTAAATCTATTGATTTTGATTTGTGGTATATTGTTGTGGATGGTCCTTATAAAACTTTAATCACAAAGAGAGGAAAAATTAGAGAAAAGACTAAGAAAGAGCTAAATGAAAATGATAAAAGAATATTCGCACAAAACATATAAGTTATGGATGTTCTTTGTAAAGGTTTGGATGAAGACAAAAAGAGTAGAAGATTGTAAAAGTGCTCAAGAAATTTGGAGAAAATTAGAAGAATTCTATGAGAATAAAAATTTTAATTTTAGTGAAGAAAAGGAAGAAAATTCAACTTCAAATTCTAATGAGGAAGAGAATAGAGATGATTTAATAGTTGAAAAAATTGTTAAACGTTTGTATGAAAAATTAAAAAGAGCTAATGAATTGAATAAGACAATAAAATCTCAATTGAATGAACGTGCTTTAGAGAAGATTCAAATTAGAAAAGAAAATGTGAATTTAAAACTCACCATTAATGAATTAAATGAATCTTATAAAGAGGTTGATAATACAAATAAGGAATTGAAAAAAAATGAAAAACTCAATGAAAAATGAAGGTTTATGAGTCTTTGAAAGTTGAACATGTAAATATTAAGAAGAGAATAGATAATGAGTTCTTGAATTTATGAGTCTTTGAATTTGTACTTAAATGAGTTCACCAATAGAAAAGATGAAAATAAAATCCTTTGTAAAAGTAAAAGTGATTCAAAAATTCTAATGATAATAAGAAATATTTTATTAAGTCTACATTAACTTGCTATTTTTGTGAAAAACTTGATCATAAGATTAATACATGTTTTAAAAAAAGAAATTTTGATACAGGAGCTAAAATGATGTGGGTTAAAAAGGATAAATCTATAATTCACAAACAAAAATAAGATGTTTTTAAGAAAAATGATATTAGGAATACGTCTCCAAGACTTAAATATCAAAATGATAATAAACGAAAGATACGTTCTACTATGAATAACAAGAAAATAATTTTCAACATTTTAAAGGGAATAATAGCATTTTATGTGATAGTTCAATGTGTAATATTCATAGAAAATTTCCTTATATTTATGAAAATTTTAAGTATGTGAGATTCAAGCACTGCCAATATGGCTTTTGTTCATGGACATAAATGCATATACTTGTTAGTTTGTTTATTAGTTTAAAAATTCTTGTATTTCTTGAATTGTGTATGATTGTGCATGAACTTATATAATTCATTTGGACAAAATGATAGAATGAATACAAAAATGATTTGATGCACATTTTTCATATTGATTAAATGATTTTTAGCTCAATTA